CGCTGTTAATTACAAATAGCAAGTTTGACTAGTATTTTTAGTTTAGGGATGTTAGCTTAACTTACACTTTCTAAGTTTCAGTAAAGAAACTTAATGGGTGAATAAAGGGGTTAAGGGTTTCTGGCTGCCAGTACTCCTAGTCATCATATTAGTACTAAAGATGGAAAGTTGTATAATACACAAGTCTAGCAGTATGGTAACAGGAAAACCCTGAAAATTCAGGATTAATGAGATACATTCTTGCTGTTTCTGAAAGTTGTGCTTGCTAAGGCCCTTAAATACCCTCAAAAAAGAGGGATACTGTAAACTTAATATCCAAACCTGCAACTTTATCTGTTGATGTGAGTTACTCGTGTGTTGTAAGACAGCTCTATGAAATTGCCGACAGATTTGGGACCTGAATTTGCAGTAACTGGTGAAGAGATTAGAAGGAGTTCTATTTGCAAGTGGCTTGGGTTTTGTTTCTTTTGACAGAGTTTTGAGCTCAATTTTCTTGCTGTTTCTCTTTGCGACCAGTATTTGCATGGAACTTTCATTTTCATAGAGGAAAGAGAAACAGGTTGTAAAATACATGAATTAATGTAGACCCGAGATAACAGGGTCAAGGGTTATCTTTGAGTCTTTGAGGCTGTGGTTACAAATACTGTGAAAGGGGAATCTGAGACAAGCACTATGCAGCCTCGTCTTTTATTTGTATACAATACATAATTATCTGAAGGAATAAAAAAATTCTTGCACTGACAGTTTCAATTCTAGGTCAGCTGACACTGGCATTGGGAATATTAATCTGCTTTGGAGCATTTATGGACAGTCCAGTGGCTGAAGTTGAGACCCACGTCCATGCTGGAGCTGCCTCTGCTTTTACTTGCAGGGGTGTAAGGGAACAGTAGAAGATACTCAACTACTCTGGACAAAGGCAGTGATTCCTTAGCAGATACCCTCCACTTGCAATAATAAAAGAAAGTCTTCTTGTGCAGCCATCTCTGGAAATAGAACCTGGGATTTGAATGCCAAACAGGATTAGGTTTTTGAAGCATGTGCATATTTCTTTCCTTGCAGTGTCTCACAAATTATACAGGTTTATCTGGGGAAAATGGTTGTCAGTACTGTATCTGTACTGAATTGCTAGCAGAGTTTAAAGCCCAAATAGTTCCAGGTTTGTTTCTGTTAATTCGGTGAGGTGATGGACTTCTAAACGCACATTAGAGATCAAATTAAATGTTGGGGGTTTTCTTTTCATGGGTGCTCTCTGGAATAAGCTGCAGTTTAGGAGAGCATTGCCATCTTCCTAGATTCTTCTGTCCAAGAGATGTCAAGCAGACAACTGTTCTTAGTTTTACTGTTGTAGTTTAAGTTTGTCACAATCCTGCAGGTTAGATGATAACTACAGGTCTCTGTTTCACTGAGTGCAATGTCTCTTGTGCCTTCTTGTACAGTTTAAGCTGCAGATTTAACTCTCTAATTTGACTGTGTTAATAGTAGTGGGATTTTAATCTTCCTTTTTTACCTGTGTGTTTGGTTTTGTGGATTTGCCTACTGATCTTTGCTCTTCTGCCCTTCAAATTACTTGGGGCCTACAGGTGGATTCTCATGGCCTTGTATGATCAGGTGTTTCTCATGAAAGTCAGCTTTGCAAGTCTTTCTTATACTTGCTTGGCAAAGCTGAAAAAGACTTGTAGTAAACATTGATTAGAGGCAAATGTCAAATTTAGGATAGGTAAGATGAGCGAGTGGTCTTCTGAACAGCACTCATTAGAAACTGCAGTAAACATTCAGACACAGGAGTGTCTTGGGTTTTGCTCTTCTTCGCTTCCAGTTTATACTCTGTCAGAGGAGTGTATCTGCTTACCTACTCATTCTACCAGTTGAAACTCATCTAATCCTGGAGAAGAAGTTACCCATCAGTAAGTGTTCTCACAAGTCACAGTTGTTGGGGGCTAGTACATGACTGGAGATGCTGAAGCCCAGAGTGGTTTTAGGTAGTAGAAATTTCTTAAGTAGTTTACAAAATCCCACCTGTGTTATTGAGGAGAAGAAATCCGATAATTTTCTAAGTCTTAAAAAATGTTTTTCCAAACTGTGCTACTCCCTAATTTGTGTTAAGCCACAAACTAAAAAAACTCCCCTTAATTTGAGCCGGTGGGTAGGGTAGCAGGAACGGTGGTGGCAGTCTGCTGGCAATTTATAGAACACTTTTGCGAAGCTGGAGCTGGTGGCTGGCTGTCAATGGCCTGCCAGGACTTGGAGCACAAAGAAGTAGCTGTCTCTCTCACAGTATTTCTAGTAGTGTGTTAAATAAGCAAGGCCGGAAATGTATTTCTAAGTAAAATACACTGTCGTTGATGCTGGTGACGGAACAGCTGGCATGCTGCTTAGAAGTTGCTTATTTGTACAGGGTGCATAGTTATTGAATTGTCTCTCTTGTTTGTTTACCTACAAGCTATGTTTACTGATGGTTTCTCATAAACAGATTTTTGTCAAGCCTTGCAGTGTTTATCTTAAAGTTCAAGTGAACTAGATAAATCGGTGTAGTTCCTGGATCATGCTTTCATTTAGTGGTTTAGTTCAAACTCAGTGGATCTTGTGACTACTGAGCAAGGTCTGGTTCCTCAACATTTGGGGACGTTTTCTTTCACTCCTTCAATTCCAGATGCTTTCTCTATTATATGGGGCTTTTTGAGGGCTGGGACAGTGAGGTATTACATTTTGACGGAAGTAGAAATTGGGTATTTTGCAAAGGCTTGTTTGTGAGCAATACAGAACCACATAGCACTATAAAACTTTCTCTGCTTTCTTCATTTGTAAGTAGCAATTTGAGATCTTGAAGATAAGGGGACAGAGAAGAATTTTAATCCAAACTATCAATAGTTAGTGGAAAACATTCAAAATATTCTCAGGTTCAGTTGAGACATCTTAAACTGTTTAAAGAAAAAAAAAAAAAAAAACCAACAAACCCAAACAAACCACCCAACAGTAAGAAACTGCAGAGAAGGCCGATTATTTGAAATTACTTGAACGGCAGAGTGTGTTGCAAGTAAAGGGTACACAGTTTTTAAAGGGAGGCGGGTGGTCTGCTGCTTCCTTATGATGCATGTAAAAATAGTGCTGGCTGCTGTTAAATCAGCTGGTTATCACTGAACAATGCTTGGTGTAGGCAGACTTAAAAAGAAAAAGCATTGAGTAGCTATATGTCTGCCCTCTTCCCTAGTAATCTAGTAATCCATTGCTGAATGAAGTATTTCTAACCCATCCACAGTGAATGTCTGACAGAAGTGCTGCTGCAGTCAGGCATCCCTTGTGGTGATTTGGGTGTGGTGCAGGGGATCATGCAGGATACAAGCTCCAGGTCAGTGTTAATCTTCAACTTTGGAAAATTTTTCCAGTGCAACGTAGCTGTGGAGCCAGTAGCATTAAAGGCTCCTAATTCTGAGCCCTGTTGAAGAATGCGGGCCAAGTTTTTTCTTCCTCCTTTCTTCTCCCTTCCATAGTATTTACCTCATTAATACAAACCATACCACGTGCTTTCCCTTGCTGTTACTTGAAAACAAGTCCTCATGTAACCTGTCCAAAATCAAATGCAGAAAGACCTTAAAGAGAGTAGGCTCGAGGGGATCAGAAACAGAGGGGTTGCGAGAAAGGAAATAAACTCTAAAGCCAACTTCCTATGTTGCCTGCACAGGCACATGACCATACGGCAGTGTCTGCTGTTGAACTGCAGGAAACACAGTAACTGGCTGTCTGGCTAGAAGATGCTCAAGCTCTAAAGCTCTGTGTCAAGTTGTTTTGAGGGCTGGCCTACCTGTGGTTCTCATGTGGTATTCATGTCACGAACCTTAACGTGTTACAGGCTCCTACTGCTTCCAACACTGGCTAAAATAAATATCAGCACATCTAGTCTGTCTCTTCCTGCAACTCTTATTTTAAAAAGTCTATTTGTGGCTTACCATTAGAAGAGTAAGCAAGTGAATTGCTCATTCAGAGGTGTTTTAAACATGCTACTCTAAAAGCTGTATCAGTCTGTTACTGCATGTGTACAGCACTCACTGGAAGACTGTCTTCCATCTTCCTGTGAGAACACTCTATCCAGACTGATAAAGAAACTTGATTTCTTTCCTCAATTTAAACTTGAAGAGTAGAATTCAGTCTGATGTTGGAGTTAGGGGTGGGACAAGATGCCTTTAGGCTTAGTAGTAGGATACCTCTAGGTCACTAGGTTTAAACAGTGTTAAATGAACATCATCAGACATTATCCTACTTTGCCCCTGTTTGGTATTGTCAGTTCAATTCATACAAACAGATTAGTTTTTTAGGATGCAGTGCTGTGCTAACAACTACCGTTATTTCTGGTATTCTCTGCAGCAGAAGAGATTCAACAGACTAAAAGCAACCTTCCTATGAAAGTTACAGGAGATCTTGAGTCTTAGCTATTACTCCTAATTTGTACTGAACTCTCCTTTGTGTTTTGGAAGGCATTATTTAAAAAATACTATTGAACAAGTCTTACAGCTTTTTAAAGGTTTTAGGGGTTTTTGAAATGCTCATGTTACAACAAAATAGCTGGTAACTATCTTGTTGGAATCACCAGCTCTAGTTATTGTGTCGGAGAAGTGGATGCTGGGCCCTTTGAATTTAGTATGAATTGTATTTCTGTGTTAGTGGATTTCAGACTGAGCTGTTAGTAGCATTAATTAATACCCTAATTCATATCTGGGTTTGTGTTTTTGTTTTGTTGAGGGCTTTTTGTTTTTGCTTGGTGGTGTTTTTTTTTTTTTAAAGGGTGCATATAGTGTCCTGGTCATAGTTTTAAGAAGGGTATTTGGCAAAGTGAAGAATACTGATCTTGGAGAAGGTTCAAGAGAAGCACTTTTCTTGTAATGGTAACGCCAAAGAATTTGGAGTTGTCTTTGGAATCAGAACTTGTGGATTTGATATTTTTTCCCTCAGAGGCCGTATGTGATCGTAGTTAAACAGATAGGAATGTAGATATTAATAAATCGGTTATGAACAAGCACCAGAAGAATCCTCTGAGCAGAGCTGCTAAAAGGCAGTATGTTCTTGGCTGTGTTCTGCTCTGGCGGAATGGGAGTAACTCCACTGTCAGCACAAGTCATGCACGGCTTGCCTTGGCTTGCTCACGGAAACGAGTGGCAGACTGAAGCAAAACCTGCAAGTCTTCACCTGGTTAGCCACTTAAAGCTCTCTTGTCTTCTCAAGTTCTACTCGACAGTATCTAGTCTGTCTTGCTGTAACGGGCAGAACTCAGGAAACACTCAGAGAATTGTTGCTTTCATGGTACAATGCCCAAAATACAAATGGGGTTTTGAAGATGTCTTCATAAGTATTTTAATTTTGTTAAATGGCCATACCACAGTTAGTTTTTACATGTAGCCCTGTGTGCATAGTGCATAAATCTTTTCTACCCTTAAGTATTTTTGGCACCTTGTTTGTGGTCAGGAGTGCACTAAACATTCAAAAAAAGTTAAAATTTACCGTAAGAAGTTAAACATTTCAGATACTGAGCTACTTTCCAGAACTGGTTTGAACAGCATGTACTGAAGACTGTGCACCTTCACTACTTTGGGAAACTTTATTTTTGTCTGTTTAAATTTTCACTCCAAGTTGTGGAGTTAACAAACTGACTTAACAGTTTGCTTGCCTTCAAGGGCAAATAACTGCAGCATTGTCACGCGTGTTCCAGTTGTTCCTTCACCTTTTGCAATTTGACTGTGTTGAGCATAATGTTAATTGTATGTGAATGTATGCTTCATTTTCTTTGCAGTTAAGAATGTGATGATCCTATTTCTTTTTGCAGATGTGGAGGTACTGTTGGTGCAATTCTGACATGTCCACTGGAAGTTGTGAAAACACGATTGCAGTCCTCCTCTGTGACTCTCTACATTTCCGAAGTCCATCTCAACACTGTGAATGGTGCTAGTGTCAATCGAGTAACTAGAGTTTCTCCTGGACCTCTCCATTGTTTGAAGTGAGTGTACATGTTACTAGGTTTGTGGTTCATTTTGGGGAGGGAGGAGGAGGAGGGAGGTGTGTTGGACAAATCCATATGAAAGATTAAGACTTACGTCTGTCATGATGCTACCATGAGATGACTTTCCATATTTTGCCTTTTAACTGTAATTAAGTTTCACATTCCACTTTTCCAAATGTCCTTCATGCTTGAGTTTGTACCTTGAATTAGCCAGAGCATGTATACCCCGTACGATTCGCAGCTCCAAACTCTGTCCCCAGAACTCACTGGGAGTACTGTAACGCTTAAGTGCCAGACTCTATTTTCATCCTGAAAAAGTGTTAGTATAAAACTTTTTAAACTGTGTTTTGTGTCCAAATCATAGATGTTGCTGAATATGGAGGCAAGAAGCCCTATGAAAATTAACTCAGTTTCTTAGTCTCTCTCAACTTTCACCACTCCATACCCTTCCTTGCCTTTTGGTATCTTCTGCTGGATATGTGACTGGTAACGCTTTTAAAGCTAGTAAGAGATAGGTAAGGCCAGATTTTGCCATGATCTGGGACATTTTGTTTGCATAGCACCTCACTGAACGGGGACTGCCTTTCCTCTCCTCGCCACCAGTGCTTGTGATGTTCAGTAGCCAGCAGGAAAGTTGTATGGCCACAGTTAAACTGCTAGTACAGACCGCAGGCAGGGTTTATTTCACTCTGGGGGACTCAAGCTAGCTGGTTATGGGGAGGTACCTTCGGTATTTGGGAATGAGGGGAGTTTTCCTCCAGAAAGGAGGAAAACCTGCTACTGCTTCTTGCATAAGAAAGAATTTGATAAGACTCAGACCAGTTATCTTCTATCCCCAATTAATCAGTGAGAAGTAGTTTGTAGAGAGCCCCTTCTGGCAGTTGCAGTGTAGGATTTAGGCTTAATCTGGTTAGAGGATAGGATTTGCTTAAATGGAGGTTGTACCCAGATAGCTCTTTGAATGGAAGGTAGTTCTTACCATGGAAGTTTTGATTCAGAGCCTTTTTATGTATAAGAGTCTGATGGATGAACATGTTGGGAACAGGTATGTGGGAAGGAAGGGCTCAGACTGTGACAAGGAGGAAGAGCTCCATCCAAAACACTTGCCTTATTGGCTTCTCTTGATGGAAGTTGAGCCCTTCAGCTTCTTCCCTGAATGTCTGGTTATGAATTTATCTTCTGTTTAGAAATGTATCTGAATGAATAGCAGGATGAACAGGTGTTTGTTTCATATGCCCCTCTGCTAGAAGCCTGCTTTGCTTTAAACCCATCCCTAAAACCTAAAATAACTTGGTCTTCCCAGGAAGCAAGTTCAGACTGAGGTAGAGGTAGTCCATGATGAACTTCATTGGTAAGGCTTGTTTGTTTTGTTTTTTTTAAATCTGCTTCTTAGACATGTTGTTTGTTTATCTGTGATACAAGAATGTATCTTTTGCTGCTTTTGTTCTTTGCTTAGATGTGTGTTCTTCCAGGTCAGTATCAAACAACTGAGATGCCAAGTAACTTTCCTGGGTTTCAGGTTCTTTAAATAGAGTAAATATGAAAAAATCCCAAATGACATGGCAATGGACTATGACAGTAAAAATACATAGGTGCAGGACATAATTATTCTTAGTTAAGGGACTAGGGCTGTTTAGTGGGGCAATCAAACTGGATCCCTCCGTCACTCTTTACTGACGCCTTTACTGTCGCTTGATATTTTCTGACTCATAGGTGTCAGGGTTTGGTTGTCTCTTCTCATACCAAATTCAGTGCAGTGCTCCAAGGCTCATAATACTCAATCTAAAAGCAGGGTGAATTGGGCAAATAATGTCAGAATTTCCATTAGCTGACTGTTGTGGAATCACTTCTGCATCTTAAGTGTCAACAGAGGTGACTTCAAAGGCATCTCTGTCAGGAAACAAACATTGAAGAACTGGTACAGGTGACTGCATTCTCTGGCAACAAAAGCGAATTCCCTTATTCTTAAATATCTGGTGTATATCATATTGCGGATGCCTCTCATAGCTAACCTTGCTGAGTTTAAACCTGAGGTCTTGATAATGGCAATCTGACCTGCCTGCCTCCCAGTGCAGGCTTCCCCATGTGACATAAGCAGGTCAGCTGAGGCCATATGGAACACTTGTGCTGCTCTTCCAACCATGGATTTGCTATTTACTGTTTTCAAAACAGTGTGAGCTCTGGGATCTGCTCTTAAATGCAAAAAGTTGGTGTCTTATTTTTCAGTGTAGGCTCTGGAACTCCTCCAGCTGGTGTCTGTGAATGCAGAAGAGCATCAGTAACTACCACCATTATAATCCTGTCTGCTGCAACCTCTCTTTAACCCTTTGTTGCTCTGTCGAGTCTTGGGATACTGTAGATCCAGAAGAAACAAACAGACCTGGTACACTTCATGCCTAAGTTTCTCTTAAGACACTGAGGTTCCTGCTGCTTCATATACATGTATATGTTATATGTGCATATATACATATGTGTAACACATGGTGTTGTGGTGATAGTGATTTTTAAGTAGTGTTGTAAGTGGACACAGATCATGTTAATTGGGTTCAGCTTTGCTGTAATCTGATGCTGTGCCCGTGCTGAGCTCTGGAATATGGTAAGATTTTTTGAATAATTCCTTCCGTAAGTGTTAGAAATGCTTTCAGGATGACAGACATGTCTAAGTAATTTGTATTTCCAAAGTGCTTTTGAGTATGTGTTCAATACTTCAATTATTACTGTGCAGCAATGCTACCCATGTAGTGAAATCATATCTAATTCTTATGGACATGAAGCTAAGATGTTGCTGGATAATTCTATGCCAGCATTCCTAAATAGGGATGGTGACTCTGCAGAACCACCATTTTATTTTTGCTTACTGAAAACAAATGTAAACTTTCAGTTTGATTTAGCAGCAGAACTGTGGTGAATCAGCTGCTGGAAATCAGGATAGGTTTGGAATCTCCTTCAGTGCTATAGATGGCTTTCACCTGTTTGTTCTGATAATAAATTCCAAGCAAAATAGCCATTTATAGAAGGGTAGTTTGCTTTATTGAGTAATTGACTTGTCATTAACCTGCATGTCTCTTTTGAAGAAGAAATATACAGGAGAACTATTTGTGTGTATTGGCCAGTGTTTCTAAATCAATAAGCACAGAGTTCTGTTTTGCAACATCTAGTGAAGTAGTTAATTCTTAACTTTAAACCTGGTTCTAAGGCAATTGCTAGAGCAATTTGCAGTGATGGGATACAGATAGTCCTTGTTTCTCCTCCCATGTCCTACCACACTTTATAAAATACCATATCTGATTAGCATCTAGATTGTTGGACAGATTGATTTCATTAAAACTGAATATTAATGGATATCCTTGTACTGTGCCAGTGTGCCTTGCTGCGTAGTGATTTTCAACTCTTTCTTAAAACCACAGTTACACGGGATCGGTATTCCAAACACTTAAGTACTAGTAATGCCTCATTTGAGTTCTCAATTCACTGCTCGTATCTCTGTTTCTCTGTAAATCCCACAAAGATGGGAGGTGACACCCCCCTGCTACCCAAGCAGTCTTTCCAGAGCTGTGTTTATAGTGGACCTGGTACCACGAGATGTTCGGGCTGTACTGTGGCTGTGACTCTTTGCATGGGTTACATTCCTTTTTCAGTTAATCTCAAACTTAAGTGAGTTACCTTGCATGAGGAAGTGAGGATTGTCTTTTCTGGAAAGAGTTGAAAAGGAAAAACCACTGGCTCCACAGCCCAGCAGCAGTGCTTGGGTAGGAGCACACAGGCAGCCGTTCAGAACTGATGGGAGGGAATCCCTGCCAGCCTCGAGGAAGGGCCACTTCGCACATCGAAGGTTTCCATGTCCTTTTACTGTAGTCAAAATAAGCACTGTATCTTACAGAAAGAATAAAGCTAAGAATGGGTTCCTAGTTGAATGCTTAGTGGATTTAAATCATTTACGGAGATGGGGAAGGCGGGGCTTTGTATCTGAAAGGCTGCTTTCCTCTAACTTCTGACATGTAACTTAGTGTGCTGTTAGGAGTTGTGTAGGATCAAACCAGGGTAGCACATGCAAAGCCACGTTGAGGTTTCTGTCTTTTTGAGAATAGTAGATAATAGATTGCAGAAGATATCCCTGGCTGGGCATGATGAGCAGTAGAGCTAACATCTTCCTGAGCTCTTCTCAGAAGGCGTATGACTTGCTGTAACTGAACCTTTGTAAGTCTTTCTCCTCTCCTCCTCTCTTGCCCTTCACCCCCTGTCCCTCCCACCCAAAAAAGTTCCCAAACATTGGGAGCTAAAAGGTGGTGAAAGGGATGTAGAATAGAATCAAATATTTTTGTCTCCTGAACAATCTACAACCTACAGGAATGTGAACGTTACCATGCTTAGTATTTTCTCCCTGATAAAAGGACACTTTCTTTAACTTCCTAATGACAGATAACTCCATGTATGTATGTGTTCCTATCTTTGAGGTAAGTCTGTATTGACATCATAAGGCTTTACTTCTGCATTTAGTTCCTGGATTTCTATGGTATGCCAAGCAATAATGGAATTTTTTTATGCTGATTCTAGGAAATGACTAATTTTTTGTGGTTAGCACTGCATTGGCAGTTATTATGAAAGTTTTACACAGAGTGAAGCTTAAAATGATGTAGTTATGGTGGTAAGTGCATTCCTTAATTTTGATATGAATGTTACAGTATTGCCATTTTTTTGCTTTCTAGGATGATCTTGCAAAAGGAAGGTCCTCGTTCTCTGTTCAGAGGGCTGGGTCCTAATTTAGTAGGCGTTGCTCCTTCCAGGTAAATACAAATGTGTACAGTAAATGAAATAATTCCGATGAAATTTAGGTTGCTGTACATTACGTAAGGGATTTAAGGTTTATTTGAAGCGAGTTTTGCATCTGCAGTTGTAAATACTGAATAGCAAATAACCTTTGGTTCCTGGGGTAATTTCATTGTCTGAGAAATTGAGCTACTCATGTACTCCGCAGCTCCAGTCCCGCATCCCTGCACCAACTGTCTCAGCATTTACTATCCTATATGCTACTGTAATAGTATTTACTATTGTGTACTATCCCTTATGCAGAATTTTGTCCAGTTAAGAAGGAATATGCTTAAGTAGTTGCACATGTGAACAAGAAGTTTGTACCTTTGAAAATACAAAGGTAGATTTAGCTTTCAGTTAATCCATAATCTTCAGGAAGCAATTGTGTGACTGCGGCCCCAAAACACTGGGTCGGTCTTCCTGAATTCTGGTGAAGCACAGGCTACTGTCCCCCCGCAGTAGGAGGGCTGTTCTGAAACTTCAAAAAGGGCAAGACTGGGTAGGATGACACACTTAACAGCTGTCCCAGAGAAAGCAGATCCAGCAGTGGGCTGGACTCCAAAGGGTACTGGGGCAGTGTCAGAGTGCAGCAGACGAGGGCGTAAATCTGGTCTAATTGGCAGTGGTATTGCTGCTGCCAGTTGCTCTGCATCAGCACAAATACTGTAGCTACTCGGCTGGTGCTGGCAGTCAGTGAGGTGCACAGATTATGCCAGGCTGAATTGATCCTTACGTACAAGTGTTAGCCTAAGTTCAGTCCAAAAATAGGAGAATACCTAAGGAAGAGTATGGAAACAAAGCTGTGTAAAACTAATATAACTTATTTAATCCTGGGTGAGGCTATAGTTTTCTGGCCCATTTTTATTCCCTTCTATTCTGTTTAAGAGAAAAGAGTTTATGCAGAGGGAATATATTCCACAGAGGTTTTATTCTTCCCTTGACTTAGTGCCCTGCTTGCTTTTTTTTCTTTTTTGGTCTGAAGAGAAGACATTCCTGTCTCTTGCACACCTGGTTGGAGAGTATCTTAACTTTTCTGGTTTAAGGTCTTTGGCTGCTTCTGGAAAATTTTATTAAACTGGACTTCCCATTTAGCATTGATCTGTCTTCTACTCAGATCTGACAGATGAGGTGGTGTTCTGTAGATCCTCTGCATGAATAAGAAAAACATAATTCAGGAATTAGAGTGCTTTTATTTTAGCAGACTTTTTAAGGAATTAGGAATATCCAAGGTATTTTCTGATCACTGACTTAGCATTGCTGTTTGGAGAAGCTGAAGTAATTCCAGTAGCTTTCTTTGTTCTTGACACCTGTGGGGTATCAGCACTTCCTAATCTGAAGAGCCTGTACTTTTGTTTGATAGTCTAGTCTGGTCTGAATGTTCAACATTGATACTACCTTTTTAACAGTAATCTTTATACAGCAATGGATTCCATTTTATAAGGGACTATCCTCAATGAAAAATATCCTCAACTGCAAAAAGCTCGTTAAATCTTCTAATTCCCTTCCCCTCTTCCCCCATGTGAAATACTTAGCTTGTTCCCCCCTGCCCCATACTAAAAATGTCAACTTGGGATAATGTGTGAAGTCTTACAAATAAGCACATCCTCATTCCCCTCCAGCTGACTCGGTCTTCATCCAGTACTTCATTTCAATTAAGCATTAGCTAAGTGGATTTAACAGCAGCTCTTTGTTTAAATAAGCTGTAGAGAAGCATGTTTCATAACACATCCAGTATACTTAACTGAGTTCAGATTCCATTTTAGAAATTACACCCACGAAGAAAGCACTTTATCTTTATAATAAAGAAAAACATGTTTGCACAGCTAATGAGGTTAATGTTCTGTTCATGAAAACTTGCATGTTCATTTTTCTCTTGTAGAGGGATGTCTAAGTTTAAAAAAAACCTGAGTTACCTTAAACATGAGTTTAGATGTGCTTAAAATAACTTCTTTTGTTTTAGTGAGTGAAAACAGGCATTTTTCATAATATATTGCATTGACATGCTGACTTTTATGTCTAGCTTTGTTTTGATAGCAGCTCAGACTTGAATGTAGTTACAAGTTCACAAATTTTTTGGTAGTGTATTCAGGGAAAAAAAATTGGTCTATTCCAAATACAGAACTAGAGAAACAAAATGCGGATCCCAGCTTCACAGCTGTTCTAGCATGTAAAATATAAATATTTATAACTACAAGTTTTAAAGTATAACCACAAGTTATCAATATTTACATCTTAAATGCTAGAATAATATAAATATTAGGTGTGCTGTTTGGTTTTCTAAAAAAAATGCTACTTGCTAGTTCTCTTGAAATTATGATGCTGTTGAAATGAGTTTAGGTCCATTAGAATAAATTTGATCTGTTATTAAAGAAATACAGAATACTGTAACTTCAGTTCTTAGTTCAGCAGTGTTTTGTTTCCCTGGCTAAACTTCCTAGTGTCACAAAAATCACCGCCATATTTCTAATTATCTATCCTTCCCCTCACTAATTGTTAATTGGAGCTGTTGTGGAAGAAAAGGTTGTAAAGTATGATTTGTTTTTTTTTTCTTTACCATTCCTAGAATAGTCGTGCCACTTTGCAAGAGTTATTCCTTCAGTAGTTTTTTTACGGAGGAAGCAAGACTTGAACCAAGATCATCTTGAGTTAGTGAAGTTAATGGCACCGCTCATAAGGGTATCAACACATAAAATGTAACATAACTTGGATTTTGTTCTAATTTTAGAGCCATATATTTTGCTGCTTACTCAAACTGCAAGGAAAAGTTGAACAGTATTTTCAATCCAGATTCTACCCAGGTACACATGATTTCAGCTGGTGTGGCAGGTAAGGATCTGTAACTTTTTAGCTTCATTCTAGAGCCATATCTACAAATGAGAGGTGGCAATAAATGTGGAGAAAACGAAACAAAACAGAAAATGTTCAGTGATTGAACGATCTCTTTTTGTAGTGGTTACCTTCTTTGGCCTCTCATTAAACAAGCTATCTGGAGAATATGTGCATGAAACTTTGTACTTAATGTTAATGAAGATCTTTAACTGTGTGTGTGAATAGTCTTTTCTAGGAAAACTTGCATGCCTGCTTTTTCAGTTGTAAATTTGTGAAATGTAAAATGAAAACTTCCAAAACAGTAACTTTTTGCTCTGCAAGCTATGAACAACCTTGTTTGCACTGAACTCTGGTTTAATGCTGCTTAAGCTGTTTTTTTACCATGACTTTCTGTTACAGCTTTGTATATCTAACTTATTTTTGTCTTTCTGAAAAATGTCTGCAGATACTTGTATATGTAACGCTCCCTCCTCCTTTGTTCAAATACCAGTCTGTGAAGCTTGCTCTACTACTAAAGTGAGATAGAAGAGCAGATTTCTGTAGTTTTCATATACTTTGATCTCTGGAAATAAATTCCTGTTTTATATCAGCAGTGTAACTTTGGTATATTTTAGCAGCTACCAATATTTGTTGCTTGGTTTGTATGTTCTGTGCTTTGGTATCATTAACAAGGGGAGGTAAAGGCAACTGAGCTGAGTTATGGTCATGGACTTGTGGTGGGGAAATCAAAACTTGGGCTGGCAACACTTTACCTATTGTTGCCTGTGTCTTTCCTACACAAAAGCAAATTTTCAAAAGTGTTTTTTCTGTATAGGCCATAGACACTTCACAGATGAATTCTGACAATTTTATGGTAGCCTGTTGAAGTTTCTAATTCCTGTCAAATTTTACAACCACTGTACATAATGTGAGTAATAGCAATCTGGAATGGACTGCCAAAGGTGATGTCAGAATAATGAATAGGATTAGTTTTCTATTTAATACTTGCTAATAATCTGATACAAAGAAATCGTTACATAGCATAGAAAATTTAAGTTGTGTTAGCTTTGTACTTAAATAACATACTAATGCTCATCTCTAGCACATGAGAAACGTGATGTCAGTTTTTAATCTTCTTAGAGATGTAAGGAGAGCTGTTTTGTCTTAGGTGGGCAAAATAAGGTGCTCAGGTGACGCCGTATTTTTATGACCTGGAAATGTGTGTTTTGTTTGTAGGTGAACAGCATGGGGAATGGGATGGAAGGGGATTTCATGAAAAGTTCATCCTAATCAGTTAATTGCTCCAAGAAAAATGACTTGTCTTCAGCTCTTTGTCAAGGGGATAAAACATGTCTTTAAATTTGGGGTGGGGGGCAGTATGGGTAATAGAAACAAGTCTATCCTCAACTGAAGACAACTTGTGTAACTCATGCAGTGCTGCAGACAAAGGAAGGTTCAGAGTGTTCCCTATCTTTGGAAGTTACTGCCCTCATTCTGCAATGAAAAGAACATTTATGCAGGTGCGCTGTAGTGACTTTTCCCAAGTGCTTGCAGACACAGACTGTAGTTTGTCAAGGAGTTCTGTATCTGCTTATTAACTTGCTTCCCTTCCAGAAGGTTGGTATTATGCATTTGTACTTACGACTGCAGGAGACTGGGGTAAATGTATTTGAGCCGTAATTGCTGTTCACCTTTTTTTACATCTGTATACAAGTTTTAATATTGAACGACTTTTGTGGCTGTTACCTTTCGCACACTTAACTAGTTCTGCAGTTGTATTTCTAAACCATATAGCCAATGAAACTGAATGCCCAGCGCAGGTTCACACTACAAGCCACAACTAACTTTCTCTCCTGAAATGTCTTGGCACTGTATACTACAGACATTCTCTGGAAGACCTTTAAAAGAAGGTTCTTTGACAAACGATTTCTTGATACTCAGTACTGGCACTATTCTGATTTATATGAAAAAGACTGCAGTTAAAATTAACAGTGCTTTCTTGGGAACGTGCTAACCTTGTTTTTGTAATTCTAATATATTTCAGAAAATGCACTTAAACCAGCTATTAGCAGTTTTACCTGCAAGGTTTGTATTGCTATATGATGCAAATCAACTCAAGGAAATGGCAAAATAACAGGGACAAGATCGAATGTGAGCTCTTAATTGGTTGACTTAAACAGGTTAACGCAGAAGATCACCATAATTATTTGCTTTGGAACTTAAGATTTCAAAATTGGCAAGGTAGATAAACGCTTCTAATATTTAGCAAAAAATAATCAGTATTGGTTTTTTCTTTTGCAGCTGCCATTGGTTTCAGTAAGGAATTGAGTAATTCAGTCTTAAATGAGGGGTTTTTTTGTTTGGATATGACCTTTCTGTTGCATAAAGGTTTCTAATACCTAAGGAGCATGAGGTAGTGTTTGCACTTACAAAGCTTTTCCTGTAGGTTGCAAAATACAAAAATGATGCAAAAATACAATTTTAAAAAAATCTGTAACTTACTGTTTTATGAAAGTACTGTAAGTAGAGAACTTTAGTCAACCTCAAATACTGTTTACTTGTATCATATGTTAATACATAAGTATCTCAGGCTAGACTGATGTCACTGTTAAATAAGGATTATTTTATGCACATGGCATTTTTGGGAGTGAGAAGCTGAGGTATGGTATTTTAAGCAGGTTTTTTGTTGTTTTTAGGCCTGATTCTTCCTTCTCAAGATAAAACATATTTTTGGTTTTATTAAGATTCTTTTAGTAAGTTTGTTTTATCCCAAGGAGGATGAATTATGCTACATATTATAACCGATGCCTTATGCAATTAGAAATTAATGTTTTTCTCTTGCTGCGTGCTAGCTTTCAGCATATAATTCACATCACCTTCATACCTAAAATATCTTTGTATTGACATGAAGAAGTACTCAGCAATCTTTTTTGCTTACTACTCGGCATATCACATGGTTCTCTTTTTGCAAACTTGGACAGTGAATATATCTGAAGCATACTACAAGAATGAGAGCGTTTGCTTGTGTGAAGATAGTTTATCTCTGTACATTTCAAAGTCAGGCTAAATTCTTAGATTCACTACAAACTCTGCCTTCGCACTGCACTTATTCAACCTCTTTTGCCACAGAGAGTAAAAACTGGAGAAAACTGAATGAGATACTGAATTCCTGTATGGCTTTCTGATTTGCCTTTTTAATGATTCATAGCCTCATTGAGACAACATGGTTGCAAATCTGCTGCAAAACTACTTTGCCTTGTATGCTATTGCTGTTCTTTCTAGAACTCTACTGGCAAACCAACCCAAATGTAGATTTTTTTTTTTATTTATTAAAAAAAAAATTGGGACTACTTTATTACTTTTGTAATTTTTTAGTAGTATGTACACAGTTACTTAATACCAAATAAAATGCATATTTAGTTCATTGATTACTGATACTAGAAAGTTTGATTTCATAAGGCATCTATCTTGCTTTTTCAGTCCTAAGACAAGGCTAGCTTTTTTGAATGATATTTGGGACGGAGTGGGGAAGGAGGAGGGTTCACTTGTAAATTTGATATATAGGTAAGTATTTGGAGATATAAAATTGAACTGCTGCAAATGAGCAGAAATTTCAGTACTCAGTGCATTTTACACAACTATTTTAATATCTGTGGCCTGTTCTGATTATTTTTCTTTCTTTTTTTCCTAAACTTTTACCTGAAAACAGTTAGATCTCACAATAACTAATTCACAAATCCTTCCAATGGGATTCAATTTGTACACGTGTGTCTGATGAGGTCACTGCTTGTTGTTATGATACAGAAAAGCCTGTGTCTATTTTAGGCATTTACTGTACATTTCTCCCGTGAAAAGAGTGAGATCGTGTCATCTCATGCTCCCCATCCGCAGGTCACTTCCTGCAGAAATATGGACTAACTTAAACCTCGTGAGTACTGAACTGAGCGTCTCTTGCAGCCTCTAGTGTAAGAACCACACATTGGGTTTGTAATATCTATTAAATAAACAAAATAAGGGGAATTCACTTTCATTATCTTGAACTCAGATGATGTGCATTGTGCAAAGACATCACTTCTCCTTAACTCCGTTAAGAGTTATTTTTTTTCTGTGCAGTTCAGGGAAAGGTGGAAAATACCTTTCACTGATAGCTGCTACTTTACTTAGCTCTGGCTAATTGAAAGTCCCTACTGGGTTAAACAAGGCCTTTTTTTTTTTTTTCAGTGCCCCAGAGCTGCCTTTAAAATGCTGCAGCTGATATTCTGTGTTGTCACATTTATTTCAAAGACTCTTCTTTTTCTTTTTTAATATGTATGTAATCTCCTTTCTGTCTCTTTGTTTTCTCTTTTGGTTTGTTCTTATTTTACTACTTTGGATTTTTAATTCAGCATTCCATATTCACATGCGTCTGTATCAATTACATTGGCTTATAGATTTAAAAAAAATACTCTAACCTTTGAAATACCATGCATAATAGGAATACCTGGGATCTTACCTGTCAGTAGCTGGTATAGCTGAAAAAGTAGATTGAGATAATTCTTTCTGTCTGAAAGTGGGATACCATTTCATAGAAGAAAATAAAACATAGAAAAGTACAGGAGTTTCTGGTATTGCCAAATTGATCTACACTTCTAAGGAATCCAGAATCTATCTTGAGGATACAACACGTTGATAAGCATTGTAAAGCACTATAAAGTTCACTGAGACTTCTAAAAAGGAAAAAAAAAAGAAAAATGAAACAATTGATAGAGCTTCATACTAGTTGTTGAAAGCCCCCCACCTTTATTTTTTAACAAGTCCTTTTGCTACGGATTTTCTGTATTTAAAAAGAAAAGCTTGTCTTATCAAAGATCCTAAATGGTATGTTTTGTGTTTTGGAGTGCTTTCCTTGGTGTCAGCATCACTCAACTCTTAATTTGTTTTTCTTCCACTAACTGTATTTACTACATTACCTGTAAGAATTGAGCTGTAGTAGTTTCATCTTGAAACCTGAATTATTGAAGGCTCTTTGATTTGAAAGCTTTGGTTTGAACTGTCATGCAATTTAGGCTTATGACAGCCCTAGGGGAAAAAATTGGCTATGCTGCTAAGTGTCTGATCCTACTGTTCGGGGTGCTATGCTTAAATAATGTTTAGAGCAACCCAGGAAGTACAAGTTCGGACAGAATAGGCTGTGTCCTGTGCCAACCACCCTTCACTGGCAACTTCCAATACACTCTTCCCGGCCTGCCTAGAAGTACCAGGCTGCTGCTGTGGGTGAATACAGTCACTGCTGCCGCGCAGACACTGCCTCTGATCTCGCCTGTGTGCTTCCTCTTCCCGATTCAGGATCTACAGAGCCTGTGGTTCTGGGCTGAATAGGAAGGAGAAAGGGCCGAGCAGATAATGCTTGTAACATACAGCCTAGCAGTAACACAATTCCAAAGCATGCAACTTAAATAGGAATGCAAAAGATTTCTTGGTCTTGTTCACTTGTAATTAAGAACTAGGAGAGACTTAAGAACTAATTTTGTTTTTTAGAGAGACGTCTTTCCTGGAAAATGTATTGGTAGGGGAAGTTAGTAATTTTCCCCCATCTTATTTCAAAGCCTTTGTTGCCGTCCTGTGTGTTCCTAGTGCCCTTCACTGCACTATAGATATGGAAGGATTCTGATTTGAAGTAAAAGAAAATTAAAGCTTGCTTAGTGCTAGCATAAACAAATAAAAAACGCAAGAACAATGTTTCCTTTCAGTTTAGTTCCACCCAGGGTCAAGTGCTGTTGGAATCAGTGGAGTTTCTATGGCATTAAGTGACAGGTCAGAGGGGCTCTGGCTAGTTGAACTACAGAACCTTTTTTGCAGATGCTGTATGTTTTAAAAACATCCGTGCCTTGTTATGGCAGAGTAGTTCACTGATGCTTTGAGTTTTTACATAATTATTTACCTACATGAAATGTAGATATAAACCACTTCTGGCTTGTTAGCATTTCACTCCATCATATGAAGGGATATATATGTACCTAGTCATAGAAAAAAATGAGTAGTATATAAAAAAAAAAGCCAACCCCAAACCTTTGTTATCTACCACAGGAAGTTAGTTAAGAGGTTTGAGTCAGTTTAAAAATCTATTTAATCAAAAGATTAAACTGAAATCTGTAACGTGGTTTTGCTATTTTGGTACAGAAATATAGCTAAATCTTAGTAGCTGCTAAACTGTGTAGTTTGTCTTTAGAACTGTAACTGAAAATCATAATGACCTATCTAACATTTGGGAACGGGGTAGAGCAAACCTTAAAACAGTTAAGATCCCCTGGCATTTCTCTGAGTATTGCAGTCATTTGTGTGCAATGTAAACCTGGATTGTGATTGAACAGAAGTAACATGTATGCAAGCAGTTCTGCTAAATATATATATATGTAAGCTGTTAATGATCTCCATAAACAAGCTTATCAATAGCCTGTTCGTTGTATAAGTATTGTGCACCAGATTTGCACTGAACAAGGTAACTCTTTGTTGCTTTCCCACAACCCCAGTCCATTCCCTTGCAGGAGGGCAGCATGTCTTTGTAGTGATATACAAGCCATGTGTGTCACTTAGAAAGCAAGTGTCTAAATTTATCATCTCTTGCCTGGCCATGTTCCAGCTCTTCCCTTTTCCTCTTCTCTCCTGCAGACATGACACCTCATTAATGGTGCATGTGTGGTATTACAACTCTAGATGGTCTTTTATTTTACTTTTTTTTTCAGAGCTGCCTTTCACTCTGCTCTCTTTCTCTCCACGGTTGTGCAGAAGTAAGAGTGATTCTTACTTCTTTTCTTTATTTTGGTTTTTTTTTTTTAATTTGTTTCCTTTTCTCTTTTTCTTCCTTTTCTTTTTCTTTAGTGGACTGAAAATCAAAGCTTTAACCCTTAGCCCTTATGCAAGCCTGAATAGTTGCTGTCTGTCTGGATAGTTAGAAGACATACTATTTACTTTAACAATTTAAACCCTCGTATGCTTGTAAAAGTATTCCTAGGCCAACCAACAGTCGCTGCTTTGAATACTAAATAAAACTTTAGCACTCAAATTTAACTGCTCTTTATAGTTCAGTATTAAAAGGTCTCTTAACTTACAGTAATACATGCCTTTTAACTGCACCAAAAGTAGTATTTATTCAGTCTGCATGCTTTTAAACTCGGATTGTATTTCAGGTAGCAAATTAAATTGACACAATGTTTTATACCATCTCAAATTGCTATAGCTGTATCTGCAATGCATTCTTATTGACATGTTTGCCAAATTGGCTAATATTAGTCTAGCTAGCTTTGCTGTTCTGTGGTGTCAAAACAGGGTTGGTATGATAGGGTAGGCAGAGAAATGTACACAATTGGGCTTATTTTATATGGGGCGTCTCTTGCTAAGAATCAAACTTACTCAACATTAATGTAAAATTAAAAAAATAAGCTAAATGTTTATTGGCTGTATGGATTCATAAAATATCAGTAAAGGGCTACAATGGGTACTTTCTAAAAATCAGTATAGTCCGAGTTTTTGCATCCACTGTACCTTACTCTGTGCGTTTCGAACTTAGATGCAGTTGCTCTTGTGATACTATCACGTCTAACTTTTCTTTTTAAATATTTTAGGTTTTACTGCGATCACAACAACTAATCCCATTTGGCTAGTAAAGACACGATTACAGCTTGATGCAAGGTATAGTGACAACGGGAAATATCACTGCTGTGATAAGATTTTGCTTAAATGTTGTGAATCTGTTCTGCATCCCAAAATGGAATGATTCTTTAAATATCCAATGTTTCGAATTAGAAAGTTGATGCTGATGTATCTACAAATTAGACTATCATTTTTCTCTATTTTAATCTGTTCTGAAGCATGCTTGAGGCCCTACAGTAGACTGGCCAGCAAATTTGGAATGAATTACAAGGTTAACAGTCTTATTAAAATAATGTTTTACCAACCATATGCTTACATTCTCCTTCAGTAATACATTCTCTTTGGTTTTAGCTGTTGAGCTAAACCTTCCTGAAATAAGGAGTTAAGTATTTTAGCAAAGTTTAGAAAAATGCCTGAAACATCCTGGTTTTCATTTTTTACATACAATGAGGTCTAGCTTATAAAAAGGGGAAGACTGCTTTCATGGATCGAAACACAGGAATTGTCCTAATGCAGAACAGTCAATAGAAGTTGCTTGGGCTTATTACAGAATTGATTACAGAAACTGTTTATTATTACAAAACTTGTAAGGAAGTAGAATTCTATGCAAACAGGCAGGAAGAAAGACCTTTATATTCCCATCTATTTAAAACTGTAGGGAGAGACTGATACGATGCAAGTGTCTCAGTGCAACTCTCTTGTTCATTTTATAGACTTTCTTACTGAAAACTTAGCATGCAATATAAAACCCTTTCTTCAGCCATCCTAAATACATTGAGCCACATATTCCTATTTTGGAGATCTGTTGGACTTTCCGTATTGAGTGCATATTAGCATTTTTCCTCTTAGCAGGCATATTGTCGGCTGCAAGGTGACCATGGTAAATATATCCCAGAACTAGTTTTACCATGAGATTTTTTTTGCGATGCCATCGTATGATTGGAGTGATAATTCTGTGACTAATTCCAAGGGGGTTTTGGTGCTACGTGCAACCTGAAGGCATCTTGTGCCTCTGCTTGGTTATTACTGATTAATCAGTTAAACTGCTTAAACTATAGGGCTTTAAGGAAATCAGGGAAAATTATGGATTTCTTGTGCACATTACTTCTGTACATTATATCAAGCACATTGTTCATGTGGGGGACCTGAAGAAGGATCTTCTAACTTTGTGTGGGACACTGCAATTACGTGGGCTAGTCTAGCACATGCTGTATTCTCAGCTCTTCTAATTCGGTTGTTATCAGAGGCATAAAAACACTTGGCCTGTGGGATTATCCTGGCCTGATATTGTTTCTGTCGAAGTTCTTCTCAAAAATCCCTCTGATCCCAGTAAGAGCTGGACAAGGCATGTGCTCTGTTTCTAAAGTGAAATTGCTTTGGCCTTCAAGACAATGTTGTGCATCTTGCGCATCAGAATAACAAACTCTTACAGCAGTCTGTGTCAGTGCACCTGTCCAGGTGTACCAGGGACGTATGGGGACCGGGGTGCCCCTGGAGCTGCAGCTGTAGGTCCAGCTGCTCTTCTCACCGGTTGTTCTTTGACTTTTTTCTCTTGCCTGCCAGCAAATCAGTACCAGCCCCAGTTCTCTGCAGCATGTGCCACCCAGCTTACTCAAGATCTGATTCGCAGCTATGTGTGCCCACTCTTTCTCTTAACTGTGCTTGGTACCTTCTTTCATTGCTGTCTGGCATTGCAGGTTCAAACCATCAGGACTTAAATTCTGCCATCAAGTCGTGCCTCATGCTACTTACGTGATAACTGCTGCCACTGTCTGTCTTGCTTGGACAGTATCCATATGAGTTACCATAACTTCTTACAAGGTTATTTGCTGTTTTATTCTGACTTGCTCGCTCGGGAGACCTCTGCTGGCAGAATCCATATGCTTCAAGTGTCTGCACTCACTGCTGCAATGAAGCATATTTTATGCAGTGTTGCAATGGTTTTGCATAGCTGTGTACAGTATGCGAAGTATTTCAATATGCACGACTCAATTCAGTAAGCAAGCTAAAAATGGGAATAAGATTTTTATTTACCAAATATTGCTTGATACAGTCACGTCTAATGAGTATTTTCCTTGACATCAGCAGTGGCTTAGTTGAATCAAATAACAGCTACCTGTGTTGTATTGGTTGGTATGCTCCCTTTGGATGTGCTAGTTTGCTGATAGCTGTGATGCTGTGAGGCCTGCTGTTCGAACTCTTAGCCACTGTAATTACATGCTATGGAGCTGTTTATTTGAGGCAAAATTTAGGGGAAATCCACTCCCATTATGCAGAAGAAAATGGTCATTTTTTTTTATGAGTCACTGACATTGACATCTGGGAGTCTGTTTTCAAGCAGTTTAGTCCTTTATTCCGTAAGACCTGGGGAGGCCTAGAGCTGTTCAACTTGTCCACGTGATACTTTCTTTAGTCACAATGCGAAGTTTGCCTTTGACTCAGTGTAGTGCTTCACCTGTGTTTAGTGCTGAAGGCCTTTGAGATTTTCACTTCAAGTTCTGCGTGTTCTTATATGTATCTGAACTGGAGCCCCTCAGCATCAGTGTGAGATGTTTCCCAAGTCCTCTTGTCACTCAAGCAGAACTGTTTAATTATTTTCCTGTCTCAAGTTGCACTAGCTTGATGTCTGTCTTGTTCTCTCCTTTTTAGGAATCGTGGAGAAAAACGAATGAGTGCTTTTGAATGTGTCCGAAAAGTTTATCGATCGGATGGTATTAAAGGCTTTTACAGAGGAATGTCGGCATCCTACGCAGGCATATCTGAGACTGTTATTCATTTTGTTATTTATGAGAGTATTAAGAGAAAACTACTGGAGTATAAGACTGCTTCTGCCATGGACAATGAGGATGAATCGGCAAAAGAAGCTTCGGACTTTGTTGGAATGATGATGGCTGCTGCCACTTCCAAAACTTGTGCAACATCAATAGCGTATCCCCATGGTAAGTGGGGCATGTACAGCTGAGAGCCTGAATCAAATTGATCAAAGGGAGTCTTTTCAGTGATACTTGTAGCAGACTTTGGCTCACTTGCTCCAGAACTATTTCTTTGTCTAAAGTTTTTCACGTCAGATTCAACGAATCCACGTGAGTATAGTATTCAGAAACGGGAGTATTTTTAAGTGGATATCTAGCATTGCCTCTTCTTAGGCGATGTTTGTTTTTCCAAAGGATTTGCCAGGGTATGGCCCAAGTACTTAAGGAGAAGGTCCTTTTTCATTTGCAATCTCTCTATATACTCAGCAATTTCACATAATTTGCCACCAAGTTCTTGACAGCCTGTTTTCAGACTAGTTTCATTTTCAGTCACACTTAATTTTCCTGCAAAGTAATGGTGTATACATTAAGTTTGTTAACGGATTGAGTACTTCATTAGTGGTAACTTCCAAGCTAAAACGTAAGCCCAAACAACAGTCTGGATTTTAACTAAGCAAATGAACTTTCCTTGCTCAGTTAGATATCTAATACTGCCAAAAATTTAACTTGTTTTCCTTACACGTACTTGGTTTGCTTCTTTGTCTGAAAAGTGGTGAACATAACCACATGTGGTTTTCTTTGTACAGAGGTTGTACGAACAAGACTAAGAGAAGAGGGAACAAAATACAGAGCTTTCTTCCAGACACTATCTTTGCTTGTGCGAGAAGAAGGGTATGGATCCCTCTACCGAGGTTTAACTACACATCTGATCAGACAGATTCCAAACACGGCTATCATGATGTCAACCTATGAAGTGGTAGTCTACTTGCTTGATGGATAGCAGTGTGACAAGGCTTCCTAGAAGAAGGTGGAAGATGGAAAGACTGGAGTGGACCACTGAATGTCAATGCCAATGTGGTGGGCAAAAGGAAAGTTATATCAGGAACACGCAGCTATGGACAAAACAGAAGGTTGATTGTGGGCAACTGAATAATTTTGCTGCCTTATTGTATGGTCTCTTGGCAATGTGACAAATGGGAACTGCCCCTTAGGAAATGCCTTTATACATCTCTTAATTCAAAATTGTTACTTTCTTTTCATCTGTTAGTCTAGACAAGGCCATCCAGTCATCTTCAGAGACCTGATGGGTGAGGGAGGGGGCGTACTTAGTGATTGCTCTCAACTACATCCTTTTTGTTCTGTTTTACTGCACAGTAACCTGTTGGAAGAATGGGGAAGACAGTACTTTGATACCTTTCCATACCTGAAACTTCCATTCAGTTGCTCTGAAGATTCATAAAGAGACTGAGGTAGTAGTCAGTGTGTAAAGTTTTCCATGTTGCTACCTCAAGACAAAATATGGCGCAGGGACCCAAACAGAGTTATTTCTTCACTACAAAAGGTGATGCTTGTGTTTTGGTTTTTTAAGTTTGAGCAGTATTGTAGGTTAGTGAGAGAGGATCTGACTGTTGAACTCTTCAGGCTATCAATCTGTTAATATTGGTGTATGTGGATTTTTAGTTCTGCTGCATCATCCTTTTTCTTTTCTGGAACTTTCCTTCTTTAAGTAAGAGACACCTATGAAGTGTTCTCCTATATCATCAGTTTTCCTTGCCAATCTGTCAGGTCACTCACACAGCTAAGGAAGAACTTGCTGAATGCTACTTCATAGCCTTTTTAAGGATTCTTAATGTGAATGAGAAATCTCAACCAGTCCAGCCTACTATTTGTGAAGACAGGATCCACTCAAATAGTTTCATGCTACCTAAGAACAAGCTGTATTACCCTAAAATGTCTGGCAAATCCTGACTGGGATTACCAGTATCTATATGGGAGAACACATCACCATGGCTAAGGTGACCAGAAAGCAGAAAACAGTTGTGACAGATCTTTTCAGTGCAGACAGCCTCTGTGTAGAACAATGGAGAAAATTGTAATTACGATTTTTCTTGTAAGCATTCCCCTTGATAATTGCTGTATCACTTCTTCCAACTTGAGCCTGTGTACTGAACTGCAGCTGACAAGTATAACCTTGTCCTCCAAATTATCTGAATGTTCAGGCATTGTTTTTGTTGTTCTATAAGCCAATTGCAAAACAATGCATTACATTCAGCAGTGAGGCTTAGCTAGTTTATTCTGCCATAATTTACAGGGTTTTCCAAAACCATACAGCTGGAGTGTCAAAATCAGAAGCTTAATGTTACAAGAATTTGTACAGCTTTCCAAACAGATATCTATCTTTTATCTGCACCTTGAGTACTTCTCAGTCGGCATCCATGATCCTTACGAGGAAGATGATCATTATAAATTGGGGGCAATAGCTTTCTACATATAAATGCTGCTACACTGGTGTGGACAGAACTGTGCTATCAACTCTTCCAGTGTGGTACTTCAGTACATTTAAACTGTGCGTTGTGTGCAATGGCTTTATTTTATGAATGACTCCTTATGCACTTTGTGGCCTTCTTATGGCTTGTGACTTTTCTTCCTCTTACTGGTTATCTGTAGTCTGTGTTCAGAACATGTAGTTTGGTTTTAAACAAAGCATGTGGTTTGATTTCTGTGTAAGCTGTGCAGGGTAAAACATTTTATGCTCTAGATCCATAGCATCTCTGTTGCAGTAGTTCTGTAGGCTGTATGTAAAAGCTCGAAGCTTACAGAACAATCAGTCTGGGTTTTTCTCACTTGCTCTCCTTTATTTTGACCCTTGTCATGTTCTCCACACAGTGTCAAAGTATTTGAGTACTTCATGTAATTCTCTGTACTAATTGCTCATCCTTCTAAAAGCCACCTATAGTATGTACAGCGACTTTGCAGTGGAGGCTTGGCTGTATTGACTTCCTTCTCCTTGGAATATGTTTTCTTACCTTTTTAAAGACAGATAGCATGGTCTGTGATGTGACCAAAGGTGAACTTGATCGTTTTAAAGAAGTGAGGGGGAGTGCTTAAATGTGTGTTCTAAAGTGGGCTTTTTCTAGTGATCTCTCTAGGAAAAGTGGAGTATTCATGACTCTGACCTAAGTCTTGCTGTGATGCCATTGTTCAGATAACTAAATGCAGGAACAGCTACTTACTGTAATTTTTGTTCTGTAGAAAGTGGATGTACTCTTCAGGCTATCCAGATTATTCAGCCATAGCCAAAATGTAAATTGGCAAAGACATTATTCAGCTGTGGAGTTCATGAATACAATTGACATTTGGATTGGCCTAGGCTTCATGAGAGTTACTCTCCTCTATTTATTGGATATGTTCTCCCTTGGTTACGTGTTCATCTCCCATTAATTCACTGGGTACCATGTGTGTGCCTTGTCTGGGTGAGAACAGACCCCCTGGAGTTGCTAAGTAGAAAATTTTAACTAAGACAATTGAATATGGGAGACAACAGCTAAAAATAGACAATCAGCTTATTATTCCACCTTTTTAATGGATGTTTAAGCAATGTTTTAAACTTCAGGCATGATCTTTTTTGGCTTGCTTTACATAACAAAACATAAACCCAAAGTCTCTTGAGATTTTTTGTTATTTTTAAACTACCAGTACATACAAAGTTACCTCTGAAATATTTCCCAAAGATCTTTAAATTATTTGTATAATTTTCTTGATATTTATTATAAAAACTCAAAGGGAATAAGAAGATGCTACATTCAGTAATATCCTTAACTACAGAACTGAAAGGAGTGCATTTAAACTTTCTTGTAACTTAGATGGTCATCTTGATTTATATTTGAATGTAGTGTATTTATGTCATACTTTCCTGTGCTAGAGGCAAAGGTCTTGGATGTCTGAAAAACTCTCAGTAATTAATTGGTTTCCTCATATTTCCCTTGTCTAGATGAAACTTAAATATTATTGCAAGCTGTTAATTTTTATTCGGCAACTGGTTAGATTTGGGAAACACTGTGAGACTGCGGTTTCCCAAAGCAGTCAAAAGATGGCACTGGAGCATGCATTCATCGGAGGGAAAAGGGGCTCCTCTGCCAGGGCCTGGCTAGCTCGGTGCCTTACGGTGCACTGGCTGTCACTGAGTGCCTGTGGCATGTTGGGGGGACGTGGCAAGGGTGGCCCGAGTTTGGAAAGCCATAAAAAAAAAAACAGATTTCAGTGAATTTCACAGCCCCGCTATTACCTGTTTGGTCCCTGTAGCGCCATGTGAAAACAGACGAGTTTTGTGTTGCAGAGGGCTGAGCCCAGCCTTCAAACCGACTGACATATCTGCTGTTTCTGTCTGAGTTTCCGATCTGCTAGCCTGTGTTGTTTTAAGTAGGTTTACACTAGGGATTTATGGAGTTTTTTGGTTCTTTTAACTGTAACTGAAACATCAACCTGTCCACTTGTACATTGACATTGCACCTATCTAGTTCCCTGTTTACATAATGCACTCCATATATTTCCTTTCTGATTGAGATGTTTATTAATGACAGTTTCTGCTATTCTGTTTTTGTTCTTATAATGACATTTGTAACATTCCTCAGACTGTAGCATTTTAAAAGAATGCTTCCAGAGACAAAAGATTGGAGAGCCTTTATAAATGTTGCTTCCTGTTTAAACTGTTTAAATTCGGAAAACAAGCTGAACACTGCAGTGTGCCTGGGTAAATGTACTACTTTTTTCAACTTTGTCTGTTAAGACTCAGTTATGTAAGTTTTCAGTTCTATTTGAGAGTCTGCCTACCCTGCATATGTGAACATAATTATGCCCTCGGAGTCATAGCTAAACACTCACAAGTGACAGTTTGAGAATACTTCAGTGCTCATGTGAGGTTTGCTATTATTCTTGCATACATGTAGTTGGCTGTAAACTATGTGCATTTACTCTGTATTTATATAGTTAACTTTTTTGTTTGGATTGCTTTAAACTTCAAAGCGAATTAAAATTATGTGCTTCTATTCAAATGTTGCCTTCTGTGCTAAACTGTATGCTATTTTTAACCTTTTAATTTTTTTATTATTGATATATACCAGTGCCTGGACAGTTGTGATTAAAAATGAGCAATTCAGAGGAGATCCCAGTGAATCACTTTATCTTGTGCCATTTTATAGTAGCTGAAAATAATGGATCTGTATTGTACCTATAATATGTTATTTTTGGAGGGATTCATGGATGACTTAAACTAGTTGGATGTGTTCTTGCAGTTGGATTTGAATACTGTTACCTCTGCAGAACTGTTACTGTCTGTCAACTGAGATTCAGTAACTAGTGATCAGAAAACTCGTATCCGTTTCAAGTCCCAGCTAGCACAAACCACTGCTGAGAAAAATGAAGGGCAGTAATTCCATAAAATGTTCAGAATTAATTGCATGTGCAGTTATAACCAAGTCCTTGAATCTGAAACATTATTAGATCTTGTTTCTCTTAACAGTAGCTGTTTGATCTGAAGTCTGTCCTCAGAACTTCCTCAGAAATCATTCTGCAAATGTGTATGTAGGTTTTGTTTGGTGGTGATTGTGTGCTGCATTTTTTTTTCCCCCTCAGTGTGTGTTCTGGAACCGAATCCTTTGCAGCCTTTAATATGGAGCCAGGCTTGATGCCTCCGATTTGATTCTTTCAGCTATTCAGAACTATTTCAAAGCTTGCATTAAAACAGCATATCTGTGATAACTCCTTTCTTTTCTTCCAGTAGGTGTTAATGTGAATTGACCTACCTTGCTTTGCTTCTAAGACTTTCTAGCTTCCAGGTCAGCTAGGCTCAGAGGTGATCAGTCTTCTGGAATTGGTACAGGCAACCAGTGTGCTTATCCCTGACACATCTGAAATTATGTCTCTAACTGGCATAATTGTAATTGTCTGTAATTGATCTTCCACTTTAACTCTCCGAAAGAGGCAGATTGGCAGGGCAGAGCTCAGGTTAAGTGTTTGGGGATGTTTTGACATTCATGCTGCTTTACAACCCCTTCTGCCGGAGGGGTTGTAATTAAACTTGCCCTGGACAAAAAGCATGTATGTAAAATGAAGGTATATTTAAAGTCCTAATTGAGTTAGGGCTTGGCATCAATGCAGTAGTGTAGTCTGACATAGATGCAACCTAAAAGCATGTGAGGTTTAGCAATGGTCTCTTTCACAGAAGAAAGCCCTTGAATTTGATAATGCACTTAACACTAAAATAAAAAGGTACTTCTGAAGACAAATACTCCTCTCATCTTCTATGCGCTGTTGCCAGCCA